TTGTTTGGTTGGCGGTGGTGGATACTCCTTAAAAACAAGCACTTCCATATGAAGCTAGGAATAGCAAAAGCAAAGCTTAATGTCTAACTTTTCAAGAATGAAGGAATACCCATTTCTTAATCCTTCCCAAATTTATCTTATTTTTATAGTTTGATGAAAGAATTGCCATTACCTCCAACCAAACATGCTGCAAGGATGTAGTAATCCTTTATAGCTTGTTTGGTTTGATGGGAGTAGGACAAATTTTGCTATTTGAATAGCAAAAATTGAAGGGAAGGGAAGGCAAGGGAGGGGAGGAGCTCCCCTTTAACTTTCTTTATTATAATTTTAGCATAACCAAACTAGGGAATGGGAGGGGAGCAAAACAGAGGGAAATGGAAGGATATTGTCTTCCCATCCCCTCCCCTCCCCTCCCTTCCCTTCCTCTCCTTCCTTTTCCCTCAAACCAAACATGGGGTTAGTGTTGTTGGAAATGCATACCCAAGACCTATTAGATGTTTGGACTTATGAATTCTTCTAAAAGATTGGGAAGGACGTTTAATGTGAATTAAATTAAACAAAGTTACATGTATACAATGTAGTGTGAACTATTGACTACTTGCTCAAATGAATTTACAAACTCATTCTAGAAAAACTCAATTAAAATGTTAAATGTGCAAACACTCCCAAAATTTTCAATTAAGCCCCTTTACCTCTTTTTTTAAAAATTTTTTTTTGCCTTGTAACATTCAAAATCTTTATTTTAAATTTATGCTGGGCTTGTGGATTTTGTGGCTGTTTAGGGCAAACTTATGCTGTAAACCAAAATTTTCTGTTCATCTCTTCTTCTTTCCCCTTTCACATGCCCTAAGTCCCTATATTTACAAAAATGCCATTATGAAAGCCTTGTCTTTAACTAAACTTTGACTCAAGTTTAATTATGCTAAGACAAACCACATAATGGCTATTTAGAGCCTAAATGTATATTATAACATGTTTTATGTCATAATGTGTTATTTTCTAAGTTTTGATGTGTAAAATGACCAAAATGCCCTTATTATACTTTTTATTGATTAATAAGCCTTTTTAACTAACTTAGGGTGTAATTAGTACTATATCACTATAAAAGTTAATCTATAATACCATGTTGTTTTCTTTGAGTTCTTTGCAAGCTCAGTGTCATTTATTTTAGATATCTTTGACTTGCATGCATGGTTAATTTATTTAGCAGTTGCCTTACGGTTTTGGATTTTATAAATGTTATTACTATCCCTTTTCCGGTGGAGAGGCCATCTACTAAAGATACTATTTTACCCTCATGTCAAAAGTTAGAAACTACTATTCTCATTATCCAAACTTACTTACCTACTCAAAGTTTTCACTTACAAGCTGTGAAGAAAATTAAAAAAGGGAGAAGCAAGAAGCAAAAACTGAAAGAAAGGCATAGTTCTTATTATTATGAGATGATATTACTGTCAAGTGCAAAGCCTTTATATGTAGGCTTAGTGACGCATTGGCCAAGAAACAAATAATCAATCCATAACAATTCCAAATCAACTCTAATGCCTATTACTATAATTGACTCAACCACTATTAATACAGTCTTCTAATATCTCTTAACGCAAGTTGAGTTTTCTTTGTTTAGAATTGCAAAATTTATAAATACTAAAACTAAAGTTAAAACCGCAGTCATACTAAACAAAGCCTAATTAGGCTATTTTGAGCCTATTTTTCTGATGACATGGCTTTTTCTTTTCTTGGCATCAAACTAGTTAGAAAGAAAGAGTTAACCAATCTTATTTGGCTACTTGTAAAGAAAATGTCATGTCATGGAAAGACTAAGCCCAAAATCAGCAAGAGCTTAATGGGTATTGAAGTGCAAAAGACAGAATGATGATGTATGATTGTTTCATCTATTAAATTATGGCTAATTTATTTCAACAGTAATGTAGGAGGGCTAATTCATTCAACTTGAAAGTATGAGGAGACATTTATTTTAAGAATAAGGGTTCATTTCAATAGTCACTGGAAGTGGAGAGGTGAATAAACCCTTTTTGCCTTCATTTTTATTCCCATTTATTCCAAATTATCTAGGCATATGAGCTGTCTTTGCCTTCTGTTATTTTATGCTAGGTTGATATCTTCTACCGTATGGAAGAGATGATGGTGTAATTCATCAATCTCTTGAAATGTGTTTTACTTTAAAGTGTTTTACTTTACAGGAAAGCATTTGCTGACAATCTACAAGATCAGAGTTCAGGAGAAAGAGAAAGAGAACTGGATTTAAACAGCTCCGAAAGGGTGAAAGACAGTGTGATTTAGAATCTCATACTGATGGTGATGGATATAGATGCCAGATAAACAGTGGTATCGTGGAAGCTGCTGAAACTGGTGCTAGTATTGAATCAACAACACAGATTGTTAACCACAGGCATTGTACCAATGGTTTTTCAGATGTTATCAGCAGTCCCCACAATATGGATGTTGATGACTCTGCTGGAGTTCATTGGGAATGCAAAGCTACATTTGAAGATATGAACTGTAGGGTTGAACTCAATCCTCACCAAATTGTGAACCCTTGCAAAGAGAGTGATTTAAGTGTCACAAATGAGGGTGCAAAGGTTGGTTTATTATCCTTGTCTTTGTCGCTATAGTTCTTTAACTCTTTTATTTCATTGTTTGGCTTAGTCTTGCATAAGATAGTTCAATTTTATGAGATCCCCTCTTAGGGTAGACATGCAGACACTTGTTAGCAAAGCTTACCTAGCAGTTTAAGCTATTATAACAAGTGACCATTTAGCATTATATTAGGGTTGACTTATAGCAAAGCTACTAGCCTATTATAACCACTGACCACTTGACTTAAAAGTCTCAGGGTTTGGCTCTGTAGAATCTTTATATGTTAATATTGAAGTTAAGCACTTATATAAGTAAGGTCATATGCTTCAAGTGGTTGCAAAGGCTGACAGGCTTATGGGTTAACCCAGTCCTTGCAAATAAGGATGTATATTAGATCTATATAATGCTTAGGCCTTGCATATTAGGCTAGCTTAAGCTTTTACGACAAGTGGCAATACAGCTTAAAACAATAAATAGTATTATGGGTGAATTAAAACTTAACAGGGAGAAAAA